TTGAATTACCATAAATTACCCTACAATGATGTACTTTACTTTGAATTACCATAATTTACCCTACCCTACCGTACTTTACCATAAATTACCCTAAGTTACCCTACAATAATGTACATTACCCTGAATTACCATAATTTACCCTACCCTACCGTACTTTACCATAAATAACCCTAAGATACCCTACAATAATGTACATTACCTTGAATTACCATAATTTACCCTACTTTACCGTATTTTACCCTATATTAGCGTAATTTATCCCACAGTAATATACTTTACCCTAATTTACCCTCTATTACCATCATTTACCATGAATTACATTGATTTACACTGTTTTACCCTACTTTACCCTTCCCTACCGTAATTTACCATAAATTACCCTACAGTAATGTACTTTACCTTGAATTACCATAAATTACCCTACAATAATGTACTTTACTTTGAATTACCATAATTTACCCTACCCTACCGTACTTTACCATAAATTACCCTAAGTTACCCTACAATAATGTACATTACCTTGAATTACCATAATTTACCCTACCCTACCGTACTTTAACATAAATAACCCTAAGTTACCCTACAATAATGTACATTACCTTGAATTACCATAATTTACCCTTATTAACTTTCTTTACCCATCGATTACCGCAATTCACCCTGAATTACATTAATTTGAACTATTTTACCGTATTTTACACTTTTTTTTACCGTACTTTACCCTACTCTACCGTTCTTTACCATAAATTACCCTAAGTTAACCTACAGTAATGTACTTTACCTTAATTTACCCTCTATTACCGTCATTTACCATGAATTACATTGATTTACACTGTTTTACCCTTCTTTACCATCTCCTACCGTACTTTACCATAAATTACCCTAAGTTACCCTACAATAATGTACATTACCTTGAATTACCATAATTTACCCTACCCTACCGTACTTTACCATAAATAACCCTAAGTTACCCTACAATAATTTATTTTACCTTGAATTACCATAATTTACCCTTATTAACTTTCTTTACCCATCGATTATCGCAATTTACCCTGAATTACATTAATTTAAACTATTTTACCGTGGTTTACCCTTTTTTAGCGTACTTTACCCTACTCTACCGTTCTTTACCATAAATTACCCTAAGTTAACCTACAGTAATGTACTTTATCCTGAATTACCATAATTTACCTTTAGTAACGTACTTTACCGTCTATTACCATAATTTACACTGAATTACAATAATTTAGCATATTTTATCTTACTTTACCGTTGTTTACCCTAAATTACCGTAATTTACAGCACAGTAATGTACTTAACCCTAACTTACGAGGTTCATGAATTTTACATAAAAATTATTAATTAAAATTTTTATTTGCAAATATTTTATTAGAAAGAATTTTTTTTAGATAAATTTTTAAATTAATATTATTGTTTATTTTCTATTTTGTTTGTTTGTTTGTTTGTTTGTTTTTTTTGTTAAAGTTAAAATTTGAGGGTTCACATACGTTAAATAAAAATTGGAGACAATTTATATTCAATAGAGATTAGATTTTTAAAGTTGATACTTCTTTTTGTAAAAAGGTGCACACACACAAATACACAGACAACAACAAAAGAACTGTTGTAAATTTGGGGACAAATAAAAACGGGTTTTCAAAAAAAAAAATTTTGACAAAGGCATTTTAAAATGAGAGAGACTTTTAATCTGACAGCTGTGAAATTTGGAGCAGTCAAAATAATAAAGTTGTTGTGTATTGATATTTTTTTTTTTTTTTTTGAAAGAATCCTAAATCTGACTTATTGCCTTTTTAAAATTTCTAAAAGTAGACAAATTTACCGTTTTTATGGTATTTATGTTTCTTTAAATATATTATATATATATATATATATTTTTTATAAAGTTAGGAATTTAATACTTAAATTAAAAATTCAAAAATTTTAAAGTGTTAATTAATAAATTAAATTCAGTGTTAAAAACGTAACAAAAAATTTGACGACTTTCTATAATAATATTAATTATAATATTAAAAAAAAAAACAGTCTCTAAAATATTCAAATATCGATGATTTAGTCAATTTTTTTTTTTGAAGATTTTTTTTATTTTTGTACGAGAAAAATTTTAAATTTTAGTTCTGTTTAAAAAATTTTTTAATTGGTTAATTTTTTTTTTTGTCAATAATTACAAATACATTATTAGATTTTACAAAAATTGAAAATGTCAGATTCAATATGGCGAAAATATTTTTCCAAATTAATCAAAATCGTATTAGATCCACCATTTTGTATTTTTTAAATCTGATGTCAAATTCGTGTTGAGTGACCTTGAAAAAACCACTGAATAACAAAATACAGAAAAATTAGGTGAATTTGAAAAAATTTCATTATGCCATTTTGAATCCGCGATTTTGAATATTGAAAATCTAATATCGGATTTGAATTCAGCGACCTTAAAAACCCCCGAGTGACAAATTCCCGATGAATTGAAAAAGTTTTTCTAAATTCGTGTACAATATTGAATGAATTTGGCAAATTTTTTTTTAAACATTTTTCTCATATTGAGTCTATTTTGAATTTAGAAAATCTAATATTGAATTCGTGTTCAGCAAACCCGAAAATCCCAGAGAAACGAAATTCAGGTGAATTAAGTGAATTTAAAATTTTTTTGCCCGCCATATTGGATCCGACATTTTGAATTTTGAAAATCCAACATTGAATTCGTAATCACCGACCACGAAAACCCCCAAGTAACAAAATTCAGGTAAATTTAGTGATTTTAAAATTTTTTCGTCCGCCATATTGGATCCGCCATTTTGAATTTTGAAAATCCAACAACGGATTCGAAATCAGCGACCTTGAAAAACCCCGAGTAGTAAGAATCCAGCAAATTTAATGAATTTTACATTTTTTCTAGCGCCATATTGGATCCGCCATTTTGAATTTTGAAAATCCGATGCCAAATTCGTAATCAGCGACCCCGAAAACCCCTGAGTAACAAGTTTCAAATGAATTGGTTAAACTTTGTTAAAATCATCCGATATTTTGATTTTTTTATGATCCATCAATCGATTTGTATTCGGTTATTACGAAAACACCCGAGTCAAATGATTTCCAAGAAAAATGCAAATCGATTGATGGATCTTCAAAAATCAAAAATGTCGAACGATTTTTATAAAGTATAGCCAATTTGCTTAAAACTTGTCACTCGGGGGTTTTTTGGGTCGCTGATTATGAATCTGGCATCGGATTTTCAAAATTAAAAATGGCGGATCCAATATGGCGTTAGAAAAAAATGTAAAATTGATTAAATTCGCTTGAAACTTGTTACTCGGGGGTTTTTAGAGTCGCTGAATACGAATTTCAGATTAGTTTTACGAAATTCAAAATGGCGGATCCAGTATAGTAAAAAAAAATATTTTCAAAATTGATAAAAATCATCATTTGGGGAAAATTTTTTCAAAACTTATCGGATTTGCTTGAAAATTGTAACCCGTGGGTTTTTGGGGTCACTGATTACGAATCAGACAACAGTTTTCGAAAATTCAAAATGTCGAATCCAATATGGCGGATAAATTTTTCGAAAATTGATCGGATTTGCTTGAAACTTGTTACACGGGGATTTTTGGGGTCGCTGATTACGAATTGGATGTTAGTTTTTTAAAATTCAAAATGGCGGATCCAATATGGCACTAGAAAAAATGTAAAATTGTTTAAATTCGCTGAAAACTCGTGTCTTGGGGGTTTTTGAGGTCGCTGATTACGAATTTGATGTTTGTTTTTCAAAATTCAAAATGGCGGATCCAATATGGCACTAGAAAAAATGTAAAATTGTTTATATTCGCTTGAAACTCGTTACTCGGGGGTTTTTGGGGTCGCTGATTACGAATTTGATGTTAGTTTTTTAAAATTAAAAATGGCGGATCCAATATGGCGGACTTTTTTTGCATATTTCGTTAATTTCGCTTAAAACTTGTTACTCGGGGGTTTTTGGGGTCGCTGATTACGAATTTAATGTTAGTTTTTTAAAATTGAAAAATGCGGATCCAATATGGCGGACTTTTTTTTGCATATTTCGTCAATTTCGCATAAAACTTGTTACTCGGGGGTTTTTGGGGTCTCTGATTACGAATTTGATGTTAGTTTTTCAAAACTCAAAATGGCGGATTCAATATGGCACTAGAAAAAATGTAAAATTGTTTAAATTCGCCTGTAACTTGTTACTGGAGGGGTTTTTGGGGTCGTTTATAATGAATTTTGATATTAAAAATATAAAAAAATTTAGCCCAAGGAAGCTATAATTTTTTTCTTACATTTGTTTACGTTACGTAATAATTATAATTAAAATTATTAATTATAATTGTTATTATTATAGAAAATAAATTTTAAAAAAATTTTAATTTAAAATTTAAACGAAATTAATAACTAAAAAATTATTATTATTATTATTATTATTATTATTATTATTATTATTATTATTAACTGAATAACTATTTCAAACTATAAATAAAAAAGTATCACATCTGTCGATTTTCATTATCTCACTGTAATGTCAATTAAAAATTCTTTTATATAAAAAAAATAAATAAATAAATAAATTTTCGCCCCTATCGAAATTTATATATTTTGTCCCTTTTGTTATTCTTTTTTTTCCACATATATCGCGCAGCCTCTTATAATAGGATGACATAACTTTTTTTTAAACCATGCAATGTTTGTCAGTCTGATCGTGCGTATGCATATATATATATATATATATATATATACACTCGTAAAAAGAATCATAGTAGGCGTACGTTTTGCTCTCCTCGTGTGGGCAGTTGGTGCAACGAGAAAGAGTCGCGGAGTAACTTGAAGAGAGAGAATAGTGTCGATCGTGTTGCCTGACCAAGCAGGTCGCTTTGTTGTCTCTTTTTTTTTATCTTTCACTCTCTCCCCCTCTCTCTCACACACTCTCGTATTTATTTTTTTTTTATTTATTTTTATTTGCACTCTCTTTTCTCTCTCTCTCTCTCTCTCTCTCTCTCTCTCTCTCTCTCTCTTGCCGATATGGGTGAAAAAAAATCGCCGCCAGTTCAAAAATGTCCTGTGAAGTTTAAAGTTGTGTGCACCTTTTTTTTCTGAAAATAATTTTAATAATTAAAACAAAAAATAATTTTTTACGAAACCAAAGAATTAAAATAAAATAAATTTGTGTTTGTGTGTGTGTGTATTGGAAATAATTACACCTTTGCGAATCATGCGCAATTTTTAAGGACAAATTTGTGACGTTTTTTTTTTTTTTTTTTCATACTGACAAAAGTGTTGTGAATCATTTTAAAGGTCAACGAGATTGAAATTTTTTTTTTTTTTTCTTTTTTTTTAAAGTGAGATTAAATTCGCATCTGGACCAAATGGTTTTATTTTTTACAATGTAAAATTGGAGGAATATAATTGGAAAAAGGTAAATTTTTAATTGAGGCGATTTTATGGAATTTTCATATGGAATTATTTTTTTAAAAAAAATTTTATCTTCATTAAAATTTAAAAAATGTTAATTACAAAAAATTGTTAATTAAATTATTAATTAAAAAACGTGAATTAAATTAAAAAATAAATACGAGTGTCAAAAATAAATAAATAATTCAAAAGTGGTAATTTTTTTTCGGCAATTTTTATATTATTTGGAATTATTAAAAAAAAAAAAAATTATTTAAATTATATTATTAAAAAAGGTTAATTAAATTATGTATATTTTTATTTATTTACTATATTTTGTCCCTTTTAGGTGAAAAATAAAAATTTTTTTATTAATTTTCAAAAAAAAATTTTTTTTTCCAATTACAAAATTCAGACAGAGAAACTTTTTTTTTTTTAGTGCGCAAAAAAAATTTTTCTCTCGAAACAAATCAAATTTTTGTTTTCTGCTAAACACTTTTATTTTTAAACAAAATCAAAAAATTTTTTTTTTTTTTTAATAGAAATTTTTATTCGCAACAAAATTTAGTTAATCCAAACAAAATTTTAATTTTAAACAAATATATAACTGTTAAGAAATTTTTTTTTTTTGTATTTTTAATTTATTTAAATAAAAATTATATTTGGTTTTAAATAAACAAAATTTTGTCAGTATACATAATTTTTTTTTCTCTTCAAATTTTTTGCAAAATTGTCAAATTTAAAAAAAAAAATTTATTTATTTTTGCAATTTACGTGAAATTTTGAATAAAAAGTGTCTTTTTTTTTTCTTCTTTTGCAAATTACATTTTTATGTATAATGGGCGTGAATGTACGATAATTTTTTTTTTTATGTTTTTCTTTTTATTTCTGTTTTTTTTATTCATTTTCGAGGGACACAAGTGAGTCGAGATTTGTTTTCTTTGTTTAGATTAGTTCCTAAGTCCAAAGGTCTTAAGTATGTGTGAGTGTGAGCAATAAGAAAATTGTGATTTTCTTTGTTTGATGAAAAAAAAGAGTTATTTTTCTTTTTTTTTTAAATTTTATTTCCAAAAAAAGGGGAAAAAATTTTTTTTTTAATTAAAAAATTTGTTAATTTTTTTTCACTGTACTTTACAAAATTAATTATTATCAAAACAAAAGATGCCCAAAAGAATTATAAACTATATTCTTTAAATTTGAATTTTTTAAATAAATAAAAATAAAATAAATAAAATAATAAAAATATATTTTGTTTATTTAATAAAATATTATTTAATTTATTATTCATAAATAATAATATATTATTATTATTATAAAATATATAGGTAATAGTAAAATAATAATAATAATAATAATAAATAATTTAATTAAAAAAATATCAAACTTTTTTTTTGGTTTATTTTTATTTATTTTTATTAATTATTTATTGATTAAATAAAGTAATAATAAAAATAATGATAAATTGTCATTTGGACCCGATTGAAGTGAGAGAATATATTAAATGCAATTCTTGAGAAGACGATAATATCAGATTTACTTGGTATCAGCGTGTTTTTGCAGTCTAGCGAATGCAGCATTTCCTCTCGTCAATGGCACCCGCGCAAACACACCACACAGCGCCACCAATACATTATATGATAATTGTCACGATTATGTCTCTATATATATATATAAAGTGACGAGGGAATTAATTACCACGTAAATGCGTCACTTATTATAGTTGCGACTCTTTAAAAAGAGTAAAAATAAAAATTAAAAAAAGAAGCTCTTGATTATGTAGTTTTTTACATACACACACACACACGAGAGAGAGAGAGAGAGAAAAAAATTTTTATTTAGAGAAGAGGATATAATGCGCGTTTAAAAAAGAAACGATTGCCAACCTAAATGGCTCACACGCTACGAACCCCAACTATGTTCTATAAAACACTTTGATCTCGTTGAGGTCGTTGCCAAAGAGTACTTCCCCCTTTGAGATTCGTGATTATCACACAGTCACCGGCTCCAATGACCTCTCAATTTTATTCGCATTATTATTTCTTTTTTTTTCTTTCATTCAAAATATAATTTTTCATTGAGATAATTTGGAAAAAAAAAAAATTTACATACTGTAAATAATAATTTTTTTTTGGAAAATTGGAAAAATTTTGAAATTTGACCAAAATTGGGCAAAGTTGGCCAAAATTGGTCGAAATTGGTCGAAATTGGTCAAACATTAATAAAAGATCAATAAAAATCAAGATTTATAAAAAGAAGTGGTAGAATTAGAAAAAAAAACAATTTTACGTTTTGATTTTGATAAAAAAAGACCTATTTTTGGCCAATTTTTGATGTAGAAATTTATCGAATTTGAACAAATTCTGATTATTTATATTTAAAATAAAGTTTTTATTGCAAAAAAACAATTTTACATATTTTAATAAGCGATTTTTTGGAAACTTTTTAAAATTTGTCCAAAATTGGGCAAAGTTGGTCAAAATTGATCGAGATTGGTCGAAATTGGTCGAAATTTGTCAAACATTAAGAAAAGATCAATAAAAATCAAGATTCATAAAAAAAAGAGGTAGAATTGGAAAAAAAAACAATCTTACACTTTAATTTTGATAAAAAGATAAAAAAAAAAATAATAATTTTTTTTGGAAAATTGGAAAAATTTTGAAATTTGCCCAAAATTGGGCAAAGTTGGTCAAAATTGGTCGAAATTGGTCAAACATTAAGAAAAGATCAATAAAAATCAAATTTATAAAAAGAAGAGGTAGAATTGAAAAAAAAAACAATTTTACGCTTTGATTTTGATAAAAAAAGACCTATTTTTGGCCAATTTTTGATGTAGAAATTTATCGAATTTGAACAAATTCTAATTATTTATATTCAAAATAAAGTTTTTACTGCAAAAAAATAATTTTACATATTTTAATTAGCGATTTTTTGGAAACTTTTTAAAATTTGTCCAAAATTGGGCAAAGTTGGTCAAAATTGGTCAATATAGGGCAAATATTAAGAAAAGATCAATAGAAATCGTGATTAATAAAAAGAAGACGTAGAATTAGGAAGAAAAGCAAATATAAACATTGATTTTTATAAAGAAGACCTATTTTGAACAATTTTTTTTTGTCGGAATTGATCAAATTTGGACAAAATCAGATTAATTATGTACAAAATATAGTTTTTATTGCAAAAAATAAATTTTACATATTGTTAATAGCGATTTTTTCGAAACTTTTCGAAATTTGACCAAATTGGGCAAAAATGGACAAATTTGGGCAAACATAAATAAAGAAACAATAAACAGAAAGATTTACAAATAGAACAGAAAGAATTGAATAAAAAAAAACAATTTAATACTTTTGATTTTTGTAAAAAAGACCTATTTTGGTCAATTTTTGATGTTGGAATTAATTGAAATTGCACAAATTAAAAAATGGTATTTTTCAAATATAATTTTTATTGTATAAAAAGTTTTTACATATTTTAAATAACTATTTTTTGGAGAATTTTTTTTAATTTGTCCTGAATTTGGGCAAAGTTGGTCAAAATTGGTCAAAAATTGGGCAAATATTAAGAAAGGAACAATAATAAGTGTCGATTGTTTATAAAAAAAATTAAGGTAAAATAAAAGATACAATTTTATACTTTAATTTTTATAAAAAGATCTATTTTGGACAATTTTTAATGTTTGAATTTGACTAAAACTGGACAAATTCAATTTTGATTCTGCTTGACATATATTTTTCATTGCAAAAAATTAATTTTGTATGTTATAAATGACGATGTTTATGGGAATTTTTGAAATTTGACCAAAATTGGACGAATTTGGACAAAATAGGGCAAGAATAGCTAAAAGTGGTCAAAGATTAAAAAGGAATAATAAAAACATGATTAACAAAAGAAAAGTTAAAATAATAGAAAAAAAAATCAGTTTTACATTTTTATTTTATAAAAAGAGACCTATTTTGGACAATTTTTTATGTTCAAATTGACCAAAATTGGACAAATTTAATTTTATTCAAAATATATTTTGCATTGCAATAAAACTAATTATTGAAAATAGATATTTTTTTTGAACATTTTTGAAATTTGACCAAAATTGGACAAATTGGGACAAAATAGGACAAGAAACTGGATAAATTTAACAATATAATTTAAAAAATGTTTCATTAAGACGAATAAATTAAGAACTAAATTACACATACTGAAAAAAACGAATTTGGTGGAATATTTTTGAAGTTTGACCGTAATTGGACAAAGTTGGGCAAAGTAGGTCAAAAATGACCAAAATTGGGCTAAGGTTACAAAAGAGCACTGAAAACAAAGTTTATAAAAAGAGTGTAGAATTGAAGAAAAATTCAATTTTACAAATTTTTATTTTTATAAAAAAAGACCTATTTAGGACAATTTTTAATGTTGAAACTGATCAAAAATAGAAAAAGCTACTTTTTCCCAATATCATAACCTCAAAAATTACTTACATTAAAAAAAAAAAATTAAAAAAAAAAAAAAAATTTTTTATTTTCTTTTCTCTCTCTCTTGCTCTCCAAATAAGTCATTGAACCTTAAAAAAAAAAGAAAATCAAAATCATTTTTGTATCGTTATGAGTGTTTGCCAATCGATATATCACCTCTAAATGTTTTCTTTTTTCCTTCTTAACAAACTGTAAAGAAGGAAGCCAGTATAGATTAAATTATAAAACGTTACAAGGACAGAGAGTTTCTTGCACCATAAGAAAAAAAAAGATAGAAAACACACAACAGAGTGTGTTTTGTGTGAGAGAGAGAGAAAGAAAAAAAAATGAAAGAGAGATACAAGAATCGTTTCTTTCTTTCTCTCTCACTCTCTTGTCATCGTAAGTCAATATATTTTAGCCTCGGAATCTCAAAAAGATTCGAGGCCAGAGAAAAAAAAAATTGGTTAAGTTACCTCGACACGAATCATCATCCATAATCCTTTTTTTATTTTTCCTCTCTCGCCTACTGGATAATACAAGACGAATTCCAGATCTTCATTTTTGTTTAGACATGATGAACTTTATTATTAGTCTTTTCCAAACTTGAGACCTCAAAATATAACGTTTGAATAAATAAATCCCAACATCGTATCGGGGAGTTATTGTATTGGTGTGTGTGTGTGTGTGTAAAAAAAATACCAACACATTTTATAAGGTCAAAGTCAATGTTTCGTTATGAGAAATTCAAAAATAGGGGAAGAAGGAAAAAAGAAAATTAGTTTCAAATTATAATATAATAATTGGTTTTAGTTTTACTGAGCAATTTTACGATTTTATATGACACTATTGCGCATTTTTACAAGGTATAGAACTTATTGTGCATGCGTAAATTACTACTGCGCATCCAAACATTCATTATAGATGTATTGCGCATGCGTATATACTTTACAAATCTACTGCGCATGCGTATTTACATCACAAAGCTACTGCGCATTCTAACAAGCATTACAGATCTACTACGCATGCGTATATGCATGATAAAGCTAGTGCGCATGTAAACATGCATTATAGATGTACTGCGCATGCAAACAAACATTACAGATCTATTGCGCATGCGTAGATGCATTATAGATAAACTGCGCATGCGCATATCCACCACAAAACTAATGCGCATATAAACAAGCATTATAGATCTATTGCGCATGCGTATTTACATTACAAAGCTGCTGCGCATTCTAACAAGCACTACAAATCTACTACGCATGCGTATATGCATGATAAAGCTACTGCGCATGTAAACATGCATTATAGATCTACTGCGCATAGAAATATGCAATTATAGATGTACTGCGCATGCAAACAAACATTACAGATCTATTGCGCATGCGTAGATGCATTATAGATGAACTGCGCATGCGCATATCCATCACAAAACTAATGCGCATATAAACAAGTATTATAGATCTACTGCGCATGTAAACAAGCTTTGTAGATATACTGCGCATGCGTATATGTTTCACAAAATTACTGCGCATAAAAAATATGCATCATAGATGTACTGCGCATGCAAAAAAGGATTATAGATTTACTGCGCATGCGTATATGTACAAAAAAGCTACTGCGCATCTGTTTAAGACTCATAATATTACTGCGCATGCGTAACATAATCTATAATTTTTCTGCACAGTAAAAAAAATATTTTTTAAAAAAAATTTACCATTTAAAAAACAAGTTTTGTAAATAAATTAATTAATTTATTTATTATTGCAAAAAAAAAATTTTTTTTAAATGGAAATAAATAAAATTGTGTAATTTTCTTTTTCTTTTTGTAAAAAAAATAAATTAAAAAAAAAAAAAAGAACAAAAAAAATTCTCCGAAAATAGTTGAGAGGGGTTTTGCTGATATGGAAATTAGTCAAACAAATTATGCGAACAATGTCCCATCATTTCCTTTCGAAAGCGGAAGTGGGAGAGATTAATTATGGACCGAGAAGATACTCGACATCCGGAAATATCAATGAGTCTATTACTTTGCGGTTTTATTCATATTATTATTATTATTATTATTATTATTATTATTATTATTATTATTATATATTATATATATATATATATATATATATATATATATATATATATATATATATATATATATATATATATATATATATATATTGGTATTTGTTGAGATGAAAAATTATATATTTATATTTTTGTTTTTTTATAAATGCAAAAAAATGACCAAATGTTATACATATATATATGCAATTATAAATGTTGTGTTGATACTCGTAACCTAGTCGTTGAGATGTCATGAACGACCCACGCGAGCTGGATCTACATACATAGTTTTAAAATTCTTTAAAGCCGGTTGCGCCAGCTTTTTCTAGTTATCTCATATATACTAAAGCAGTTTGTCTTCTATGGCCTTATGTCCGGAACAAATTGTCTAAAAAAAAATCACACACACACACACACACATAAACAATATTGCGAATAAATTTACAAAACCAGAGTTTCGTCATTCCACACACGATTGTGATTATTGTTTATTATTTCACGTTACATTATTATTTATCTATATTATTCTCGCATTTTTCTCAGAATTATTTTCGTTTATTTTATTTTATTTTTAATCTTACTAGTAATTTTTTTTTATTTTCCAGTATAATTTTAGTTTGATCAATTTTTTGGTCATTTTAGGTCTAACATGAATTTTGTGAAATTTCGAAACATTTTTCATCTACTAGTTTGCCCAAATTTAGGTCAATTTAGGTCTCGAGGTAGTTTGCCCTTTTTTGGTCATTTTAGGTCTCACGCGAGTTCGTTTGAATTTAAGACTTTTTCGATATCTTATGAAAATTTTTCCAATATTGGTCATTTTCCATATTTTATACATTTGCCCACATTTAGGTCATTTTAGATATCGAGTTAATTTGCCCAATTTTTGGTCAATTTAGGTAAAAAACGAATTTTGTGAAAATTTGGAATATTTTTGATTTGCCCAAATTTAGGTCAATTTAGGTCTTAAGGTAGTTTGCCCTATTTTTGGTAATTTTTGGCCTTACTTTTCCTTGTTTGGATTTAGGACTTTTTTGGTCTTCTAAAAGTTTGTCCAATATTAGTCATTTTCCATATTTTAATATTTCGACCTATATAAGGTCAATTTTGGTCTCGAGTGAGTTATACCAATTTTGGTAATTTTTGGTCTAAAGAAATTTTTATTACATTTCGTCATTTATGATATTTTAAAATTTTGCCCAAATTTGGGTCATTTTAGGTCTCCAGTAAGTTTCCTCCCTTTGGTATTTTTTGGTCTCACGCTACTTCTTTTATATCCAGGTCATTTTCGGACTTATTAAAATTTGTCTAATGTTTGTCACTTTTCATATTTTTTAATTTTGACCTAAAGTCAATTCAGGTCTCTACTTTATTAACCCAATTTTAGTTATTTTTGGAATAATTTTTTTTGTTTAAATTTAGACATTCATTATATTTTATAAATTTGCACAAAATTTGGTCAATTTAGGTCTTGAGGAAGTTTATCCTTTTTTGGTGATTTTTGGTGTCATGTGTGTTTACTCAATTGTGATAATTTTTTCATATTCTAAAAATTTGCCCCAAAATTCGAGTTATTTTTGGTGAAAATTACGTTTGCCCAAATTAAGGTCATTTTCAAATTAACTTTTCTAATATCAAGTTTGGGCAAATATATTAAAAATGTTTGATAATTTTTGTATTCTATGACTTTGCAAAATTTTAGGTCAATTTAGGTCATTTCGGTTTTAAAAAAACGTTTGTCCAATTTCGGTCATTTTCTGTCCAACCAGTGTTTATCTAAAGATGATTTGAAATTTACAAATTTTGCATAATTTTTTTTTCTCCAAATGATTTTCTCCAATTTTGGGTCATTTTTGGTCGCATTTGTGTGTTGCCCAAATTTTTGGTCATTTCAAAAATGACATTTTCAAAAATTTATTTCATAATACCAAAAAGTTTTTAATTTTTAATGATTTTTTCTAATTTTAAGACTGAAAAATTTGTGTTTGTCCATTTTTTAGGTCATAAAGACCTTTTTTGAAAATTAAATTTTTGACCATCCTCCTTTTTTTTGGAATTTTTGCAGACGAACCAAGGTCGAGGTGTCGATCATGGGATGACGTGGGACCAATTGCAATGGACACTGTCAGTCAACATAGTAGACATCAACGTCTTCCAATGGAGCCAATTGGATCCAATACGTCGACGCGATCAGCGAGGAGCGAAGATTCCTGGTGCTCAGCATCCGATCACGATCTTTCCTCTGACGAGGAAAGTGAAAAAAGTAGTGTCAGTATTAAGTGAGTATATTAAAAAAAAAATTTTACTTCGTATTTTTTATTAATTTAATTTTTATATTTAATGCAATTTTTATTTAAAATTTTTGAAATTAGTTTAGAAAAAATTTTTTTATTTTTTTTTCTAAAACTAAAAAATTTGATAAAATAATTTTTCATAATTTTTAGAAACTACCAATTTTTTTTAAATTTTATTAATTTAAAAAAATTGGTTTTTTAAAAAAAAAAGAAAAAAGTAATAAATTTTTTTAAATATGTTTTTATTATTTAATAAAAATATATATATATTTTTTTTTTAAAGGAGCAATTGTCAATTGAGAAATACAATTCATAAAGCGCGAACGCTTTGCGATAAATGGCGATCACAAAATATGCGGATTAGTAGTCCGGAATCATTGGAGCCATGCAGTCAGGGAAGAATTTTAAGATGGTTCAGCATTCGAAGAGGATCGCCACATCAATATGATGTCGATACATCGGACACGGTCTCGTTAACGAGTCCCGTGAAACCACCTCAGATGCCTCAACTTTGTGAGGTAAATTTTTTTTTATTTTTAATCAAAAAAAATTAATAATAATTAGATATATTTTGAAAAAAATTTCCCTTTTTTTAAACTATTTTTTGAATTTTTTATTGTAAAAGAACATTTTTTTTTTTATCTAAAATTAATAATTATATTACGTTATTTACAAAAGATTGGCAAAAAAATTTTTTTTTTGAGCTGAAAACGGCCAATGGCCGCCATTTTTCCTCACCTCGTGACTTTTTTCTTTAATAAAAATTGCAAAAATAATTTTTTCTCTTTGATTCTTGGATTTATTGAAGCTATACGATGGCAAGAATCGATTTGTAAAAAACATTTTTAAATTTTACAAAATTTTGGAAAATTCTAACCTATTTGAGTATATTTTTGGGATTAAATTTTTTGAAAAAAAAGAAACACTAAAAAATATTCTTGACATTGTCTAGGAGATATTGATTAAAATTTTACATCACTATGTTTCTATGATTCGTTTTTATACGCAAAAAAAGTCTCGAGGTTGAAAGAGAAAATTTCCGCCATTTTTCCTCACCTCACGACTTTTTTCTTTAATAAAAATTGCAAAATTAATTATTTCTCGTTAATTTTTGGATAAATTAAATCTATTAAATGGCAAGAATCGATTTGTAAGAACAATTTTTAAATTTTACAAAATTTTGGAAAATTCTAACCTCTTACGTATATTTTTTGGAGAATAATATTTAGAATAAACATTAGTTAAAATTATTATTGCCATTGAATGGTAGACATTTGTTAAAATTTTGCATCTTTCTGCTTTTTGTACGATTGGTTTTTATGATCAAAATAAAGTCTCGAGATTGTAACGGACAAATGGTCGCCATTTTTCCTAACCTCGTGACTTTTTTCTTTAACAAAAAATGCAAAAATAATTCTTTCTCTTTTAATCTTCGATTAATTGAATCTAGACGATGGCAAGAATCGATTTATAAAAACAATTTTCAAAATTTTACAAAATTAAAAAAAACTAACCTCTTACGTATATTTTTGGGAATAATATTTAGAAAAAAAAAAACCACTAAGGAATAACATTCTTGCCATTGAGTAGTAAACATTCGTTAAAATTTTACTTTTCTATGTTTTTACGATTGATATTTATTTGCAAATAAATTCTCGAGGTGGAAGGGGAAATTTCCGCCATTTTTCCTCACCTCAAGACTTTTTTCTTTAATAAAAATTACAAAATTAATTTTTGTTCCATTGAATCTTGAATTAATTGAATCTATTCGGTGGCAAGAATCGATTAAAAAAACAATTTTTATATTTTACAAAATTTTGGAAAAAAAACTAACCTCTTACATATATTTTTAGGAATAATATTTAGAAAAAAATACATAACTATGAAAAAATATTCTTGCCATTGAGTAGTAAACATTTGTTAAAATTTTACTTTTCTTTGTTTTTACGATTGATATTTATTCGCAAATAAATTCCCGAGGTGGAAAGGGAAATTTCCGACATTTTTCTTCATCTCGCGACTTTTTTCTTTAATAAAAATTGCAAAATTAATTATTTCTCGTTGATTTTTGGATAAATTGAATCTATTAAATGGCAAGAATCGATTTGTAAGAATAATTTTTAAATTTTACGAAATTTTGGAAAATTCTAACCTCTTACCTATATTTTTAGGAATAATATTTAGAAAAAAAATAACACTAAGAAATAATATTCTTGCCATTGAGTAGTAAAAAATTGGTTAAAATTTTACATTTCTATGTTTTTACCATTGGTATTTATTCGCAAAAAATTTCTCGAGATGGAAAGTGAAATTTCCGCCATTTTTCCTCACTTCGCGACTTTTTTCTTTAATAAAAATTGCAAAATTAATTTTTTCTCATCAATTCTTGGATTAATTGAATCTATTCGATGGCACAAGTAGATTTTTGTAAAATTAATTTTTGTACAAATTATTTTTTTTCAAAAAAACTAACTTTTTCGTTATTTTTTTTTATTGTTATTATTTTTATTAATATTATTATTAATTATAAGGTATTATTATTTTATTATTATTATTATTATTATTATTATTATTAATTATTATTATTTTATTATTGGGTATTTTTTTTTGTATTTTTATTTATTATTATTTTGATTTTTTTTTTTTCCTAGGTGGAAGAAGAAAGTGGAGCATTAGGACAATTTCAAACAATTCAACAACGACGACAAGTTCCACCTTCTTTGCCACCTGCGCCTTCGAATTTAACGGCGCAACAATTAAAACGCCGATATATTATCGCAGCGATTGTTCACTCAGAGAATAGTTATGTTTCCACTTTACAAAGGCTCGTTAATGTAAGTATTTATTCTTTTTTTTTTTTTTTTTGTTTTTGAAAAAAATTTAATTCTATTTTTCTTCATTTTTTTTTTTTATTCATCAAAAACTGTAGCCAATTTTCTTTTATTTTGCAAAAAATTCAATTTAAAATTATTCAAATTTTATCTTTCTTTTCTTTTTTTTTCATTTTAGTTCTCTATGAAAAAATTTTTTTTTTCATTCATCAAAAATTGTAGCCAATTTTCTCTTATTTTGCAAGAATTTCAAATTTAATTTAATATTAAATTATTTTTTTTGTTTCTTTTTTTTTTAATTTAAATTATCAAATTTCAAAATTAGCAAAATAACAAGAAAATATTTATCTGATATTAATTTTCATTCAAAAATTGTATCTGATTTTTTTTTTAATTATTTGGAGAATTTTTAATTTGAAATAATTAATTTTTCCTCTTTTCTTTATTTTTCATTTTCATTTTTCAAATTTCAAAACTCGAGCAAAATAATAGAAAAAAAAATAGAATAGTAGAAACAGAAAAAGTATAAATAGTTTTACTTTTTGGAATTGAATTTAAAAAATATAAATTTTCCTTTTTTGTTTTCGAATTGAATTTTTATTATATTATATCAATTATTTTAAAACTATTTTTCAATTAAAAATTTTATGAAATTCAATAATTGTTTAAAATTAAAAAAAAAAGAATACAAAAAAAAAATTACTAAAAATTTAAATTAAAAAGTAATTTAAAATTCAATTATTTTTAAAAATTTCAATTTAATTATTTCTGAAATTTAAAACTCTTCCAAAATTCAATTTTATATTTATATTTATATATTTATATTTTATATTTATTTATATAAAATTTTATTTATTTAAAAAATTGAAATTTTCCTTTTATTTTTAGAATTGAATAAAAACAAAACAAAAAAAAAAATACAAAAATTTTTAGTTTTATTTTTGGAATTAAAAAATACAAAGTTTCTTTTTGTTTTGGAATTAAATTTAAAAAATACAAATTTTCCTTTTTGTTTTTAGAATTTAATTCTATTTTTCTTCATTTTTTTTTACTCATTCATCAAAAATTGTAGCCAATTTTCTTTTATTTTGCACAAAAAAAAAAAAATTTAATTTAAAATTATTCAAATTTTTCTTTTTTTTTCATTTTAGTTTTCTATGAAAAAATTTTTTTTTTCATTCATCAAAAATTATAGCCAATTTTTTCTTATTTTGCAAGAATTTCAAATTTAATTTAATAATTAATAATTAATAATTTATTTTCTACTACTTAAATAAATAAATAAATAAATATTAATTTTTTTTTTTTTTTAATTTAAATTTTCAAATTTCAAAACTAGCAAAATAACAAGAAAATATTTATCTGATATTAATTTTCATTCAAAAATTGTATCTGATTTTTTTTTTTTAATTATTTGGAGAATTTTTAATTTGAAATAATTAATTTTTCCTTTTCTTTATTTTTAATTTTCATTTTTCAAATTTCAAAACTGGAGCAAAATAATATAAAAAAAAAAAAACTAGAATAGTAGAAACAGAAAAAGTATAAATAGTTTTACGTTTTGGAATTAAATTTAAAAAATATAAATTTTGTTTTCGAATTTAATTTTTATTATACAATTTTTTTATTGTGAATTTTAATTTTTCTGTTTTTTGCATTTTAGGATTACAAAAAACCATTGGAAGTGTCGTCGCCGCCAATTTTAAGTCAATCAAAGATAGCGACATTGTTTCATCGACTTCCTGAGATTCTCCAATGCCACACCTTATTTCGCATTGCGTTAGCTGAATGCGTAAGATCATGGGACAAAGACGAGAAACTTGGCGATGTTTTTGTTGCAAGTTTCAGTAAAGCAATTGTCCTTGATATTTATAGTGATTTTATCAATAATTTCTCAGTGGCAATGGATCTCGCTAAACAAGAATCAAAACGAAAGACTGCACTCGCCGATTTTTTCAAGGCACGTGTCTCTCTCTCTCTCTCTCATCTAATCGAAAAAAAAAAATAATAATTCAAATCTTTTTCAAAAATTTTGCAAATTTCTAAAATTTCAAATTTTCAAAGCATTATAATTCTTTTTGTACAAAATTTATAAATTTACTTCTTCAAAAAAAAAAGTATTTAAATTTTAACAAAATTTGTTTATTTTGTTTTATTTATATTGTATTTATATTTTTTTTTGTATTTTTTAAAAATATTTTTTGGTATTTTTTTTTCTATTTTTTATGTCTATGAATTGAATTGAAATTAAAATAATAATATGAATTAAAAATTAAAAAAGAAAAAATATTTACATTTTTCAAGGAATAATAAAAATTTTTGTAAACGTTTTTTAAAAGAAAAAAAAATATTTTTTATTTATAAACAAACGAAGGAATTTATAATTTTCTAAAAATTTTTTTTTTTTTTTTTCAGGTGAAACAAATTAGCGCTCACGACAGATTATCATTTTTTGGACTGATGGTGAAACCGGTTCAAAGGTTTCCGCAATTTATTCTATTTTTACAAGTAAGTTTGATTTTTTTTTTGTGGAAAATTTTCTTACTTGAGAAACAGATTTCTATAAAATATGAGATAAAAATATTTATAAATTTAGGAAAAAAATAAATTAAATTTTGTGGATAATAAAAATTCAATTTTCTTTTTTTTTTTTTTTTTAGTAAATAAAATAAATTTTGTAACTAATAGAAAATTCAATTTTCTTTTTTATTAGTATATAAAGTAAATTTTTGTGAATAATTAAATTAAAAAAAAAATTTTTTTTTTTTTTAAATAAAATTCTAGTAAATGGTAAATTTTATTAATTAAATAAAACATTTTTTTTAAATCAAATTCTAGTAAATGGTAAATATTAATTAAATTATTAAATGGGGGATAAAAAAGAAACTTAATTATTGATTTTTTTTTTTTTTTTTTGCAAGGACTTATTGAAACACACACCACATGGACATCACGATAGAATGTCATTACAATTGGCTTTAACGCAACTCGAGAGTTTAGCGGAAATGTTAAACGAGAGAAAACGAGAGGCCGAACAATTTCAAGCATTCAAAGAGATGCTTCGACAAGTGTCGGGAAAATTGTCACATCGACCACTTTCATCGTCATCCAGGTACCTGATTAGAGAAGACGACGTCACTCAATTGGTAAGTTAGCAAAAAAAAAAAAAAAAAAAAAACAAATATATTTGAAACAACAAAAAAAAAATTAATCATTATAGTAAAGAAGAAATTTTTTTTTTTGAAATTTTCTCTCAAACCCATTGTTGTCCCATTTTTATATTTATTATAGTTTAATGAAAAAAATCTTTGCTTTTCAATGAGAAAAAAAAAACAAACAATTTTTCAGTGGCAAAAAAAGGGATAGAAAATAAAATAATAAATTTATTTTCAGGAATTCAATCAAAATGGAATGATTACAAAATCAAAGAGAAGACGTCTTCTTTTATTAAATGATTTGGTTGTCTGCGTTTCCGTGGCGTCACGTGCCACGGAGGATTTTTCCGGAAACGAAAGACTAACACTGAAATGGACGCATCCTGTGTCAGAAGTTGAGGTAACTTTTTTTTTTTTTTTTACATCTATATATTCTTTATAAATTATATTTTTAATATAATATTTTTTTTTTGATTACCTCATAAAATATAATTAAAATTTGTTTTTTCTTGCAGATTCAAGACACAAGTGCGTCGCCAACGCTCAGTCGATTATTAACAGCGGGTCTTAATAAAGGAAATAGTCTTCGATCTGATAGAAGTGGCGAAAGCGGTCAACTTGGCGCTGATAGTCTTTGCGCTGAGATGAATGATCTTATGCACGATTATGAAGTTATGTCAAGAATCAATGATTTGATCGCTCAACTTAAAGGAAATTACGATGTAACAATTTTTTTTCTTTTAATTTCATTAATTTTCTCTATTTAAATTTATTGAAATATTATTTATTTCCCGTCTTTTTTATTATAGAGAATTTTATTTTAATTTTAACAAAATTCTCTCATTCAATCGAATTTCAATTAATTTCAACAAAATTCTCATTCAATCAAATTTCAAATTAATTTAACAAAATTCTTTCATTCAATCGAAATTTATTTGATTCGAATTTTTAATTTACAAAAATTCCAATTGATCGAATTTTTAATTTGTAATTTTTGTCAATTTGAAAAATTCGTCAATCAAATAAAATTCAATTGAATGAGAATTCTGTTAAATTAGAATTTAATTAAATTAAAATTCTTTTTAAATAATAAGTCATTGAAAAAAAAAAAAAAAAAATTCTGTGAAACAAAAATTCGATGGCTAAAAATTTAAGTTAAGTAAAAATTCATATAAAAATGAAATTTTGTGAAAATTTAATTTTGAAAAATTGAAAAAAAAACGTTTATGGAATAATTATTTGTAATTAAAAAATATGAAATTTTAATTATAATTATTATAATTAAATTATAATCAAAAAAAAAATAAAATTTTTTTCATATTCCCCAGGGAATGACATTGGACACAACGAAACAACTTCTTCAATCAATTCAATCGTCAATTCAACAAAAAGATGAAGTAATGATTTGGGCCGACAGTTGTTGTCTTCAATTAATGACAAAACAGGGACAAATGTATACATTTCAAACTGATAATCCACTAGTGAAAAAAGATTGGATCACCGAATTGAGACTCGCTCAATTGGCGCTCGATCCAAATAATTCGCCATCATGGGAAGTGCCTGAGCAAGAACAAAGACCATCGACAAAAATGCCTCTATTTGTCAGTTCACAGCTTGTTTATCAATCGCAACATCAAACCGAAGTGAGTAACAAAATAAATATAATTTATTTTTTTGTAATTACATTTTTAGGATTTTTTTTTCTTTTTTTTTTTTTTTTTGATTTCTTTTCCTGTTGTAAAAAATTGACAAAATTTTAAAAGAAATTATAATTTTTTTTATTTTCTTTATTTCAGTTTTTTTTTTGTTTTCTTTATTTTAGTTTTTTTTTTTGAGCTTTATTTAAATTTCTTTTTAATTTTCTTTATTACCAAAAATTTTAATTTTAAAAAAACATTTAAAATTCAATTATTTTTCAAAATTTCAATTTAAAAACTTCTATTAATTTAATTATTTCTAAAATTTTTCATCTAAAACTTTTTTTTTTTTTGAAATTCAATTATTTTTTTTTTTTTTTTTTAATGATTTATTTATAATATTCTCTGGGAAAATTTCAATTATTTCCAAAAAAAAAAATTTTTTGAATTGTAACAATTCAAAAATTCAATTATTTTCCATAATTTTAATAAAATTCTTTACAAAATTTAAATTAATCTTAAATCCTTTTTTTTTTAATTAAAAAGTTTTTTATGCGAAATTTCAATAATTGTTAAATAATTTAATACTAAATTTGCAAATAAAATTATCAATAATTTTCATTCTCAAAATCACTTGCAAGTTCAATTATTATTTTTCACAAAATTTGAATTGTAAATTTTTTCGGAAAATTTTAATTATTTTCAAAATTTATTTCAATTTAATAACATATATATATGTAAAATTTAATTATTTCTAAAAATTTTTTCATCTAAAACATTTTGTTATTTAATAATTTAAAATATAAATTTTCTGAAATTCAATTATATTCAATAATTTCTATAATATTCTTTGAAAATTCAATTATTTTTCAAAAATTTAATTAGAATTTGTCGAAAACTTATTATTATTATTTTTTAAATCTAAATGAAAATTAGGCAAAAAATTTTTAATTGTAATTTGTCGAAAAATTTCAATTATTTTCCAAAAATTTTAATTTAATTTAGCAAAGAATTGAATTTTCAAAAATTTTAATAGAAATTAATAAAAATAAAAAAATTATTTAAAAAAAGGACAAAAATTAAATTATTTATTATCAATCAAAAATTTCGTTATTTTCTAAAAATTTCAATAAAGGTCTAAAAATTGAATTAATTTTTCAAAATTTTATATATAACTAGTCAAAATCTTTTTTTTAAAAAAAAAAAAAAAATTAGAAAATTAGTCAAAAATTAAATTTTTTAAAAATAATTTTTATAATATATTCTTCAAAAATTTAATTTTCTGAAAATATTTTTCAATTAAATATTTTGAAAATTTAATTTTTGTCTTTAATTTCTAATAAATTCTTCAGCAACTCAAAAATTACACAAAAATTTAAATTCAAAATCAAAATAAGTTAATTTATTTTCAAAAATTTTCAAAACTTCAATTATTTTTAATTCTGTAAAATTTAATTATTATTTAAATAAATAAATAAATTAATTAATTAATTCCTTCATATCTGAAATTTAAGAAAATCTTTTGAAATTCAATTATTTCTAACAAAAAAAAATTCAACAGTTCTTTTAAAATTCAATTATTTTTAATAATTTTAATCAATTTCATTTTAAATTTAATTATTTTAAAACTATTTTTCAATTAAAAATTTTATGAAATTCGAATAATTGTTTAAAATTAAAAAAAAAGAATACAAAAAAAAAATTACCCAAAAATTTAAATTAAAAAGTAATATAAAATTCAATTATTTTTAAAAATTTCCATTTAATTATTTTTAAAATTTAAAACTCTTCCAAAAATTCAATTATTTTTTTAATGATTTTTTATAATATTTTTCGAAAATTTTAATTATTTCCGGAAATTTGAAATATAACTATTCGAAAATTCAATTTTTTAACAAAATCTTTTGAAATTCAATTATTTTTCAAAAATTTGTAATTTTAAAAATTCAATTATTTAAAAAAAAGTTTCGAATAAAAACTCAAAAATTTGAATTTTTTGTAATTTTAAAAATTACTTTTCTTTTGGAATTGTATTTAAAAAAATACAATTTTTTCTTTTTGTTTTTAGAATTGCATCCAAATAATACAAATTTTTTTTTTCTTTTTGGAATTAAATCTAAAAAATACAAATTTTCATTTTGCTTTAGAGTTTAATTGAAAAAAAACAAAGTTTCATTTTGTTTTAGAATTGAATTAAAAAAATAATAAAATTTTTTTATTTGTCTTCAAATTGAAAGAGAAAAAATAAAAATTTTCGTTTCAATTTGGTTTGAATTTAAAAAATACAAATTTTTTTTTTTTCTTTTTGGAATTGAATCTAAAAAATACAAATTTTCATTTTGCTTTAGAGTTTAATTGAAAAAATACAAAGTTTCATTTTGTTTTTGAATTAAATTTAAAAAATTTGAAATTTTCCTTTTATTTTTAGAATTGAAAAAAAAAATACAAAAATTTTTAGTTTTAGTTTTGGAATTAAAAAATACAAATTTTAGGTTTCTTTTGGAATTTTTGAATTTAAAAAATAGAAATTTTAGATTTTTTTTACAATTTTAAATTTAAAAAATAAAAATTTTCGTTTCGTTTTGGTTAGATTTTAAAAAAATACAAATTTTTTTTTTTTTTCATTTTGTAATTGAATCTAAAAAATACAAATTTTCATTTTGCTTTGAAGTTTAATTGAAAAAATACAAAGTTTCATTTTGTTTTGAAATTAAATTTAAAAAATTGAAATTTTCCTTTTATTTTTAGAATTGAATAAAAAAATAAATAAATAAATTTTTAGTTTTAGTTTTGGAATTAAAAAATACAAAAATTTTTGTTTTATTTTTGGAATTAAAAAATACAAAATTTCGTTTTTATTTTGGAATTTTTATTTAAAAAATACCTACAAATTTTAGGTTTCATTTGGAATTTTTGAATTTAAAAAATAGAAATGTTACATTTTTTTTACAATTTTGAATTTAAAAAATAGAAATTTTTAGAATTGCATTTAAAAAAAAAAATACAAATATTTTCATTTTACTTTAATGTTGAATTTAAAAAATACAAAATTTCATTTTGAATTTTATTTAAAAAAGTTTTTAGCGAATTACATCCAAAAAAAAAAACTACAAAAATTTTCCTAATTTCCTTTCAAAATTAGAAAAATAACAAATAATTGTATTGAGATTAAAAAAAAAAAAAAAAAATCCTTTTCAGGTACGTTGCGGATGTTATTACACAACTCAAAATCCAAAACCAACCCGTCGACGTGGTCGTCATCAAAGTTATCTCTGGATATGCACCGGTGACGATATATCGAGTCACGTGACAATATTCAATCAATCAACAACCGCTTCAAATACATCACTAAAACAAATAGCAACATTTGATTTATTTGAAACTCCCGTGACAGCAATGGAATTTGTCAAAGGTTTACCAGGTGAGACATCCGGTTTAATAAGCGATACAATTTGGTTTGGCACTGATTCACGTAAATTATTCATTTATCATGCCAATGAACCTGAGAAACATGAGGAAATTGATAAATTCACCGTTAATGGCGCCGTAACACAAATAAAATATCATTATGACAATGTATTTGTTGCACTTGATAATGGTTCACTTTTAATGTTTCGTCGTAATTGTCATGGTAGTTGGGAATTACGTGAACCACTTGTTATTAAATTAGGTCCAAATAATGAGCCAACATCATGTTTAATGCCAATAAATTCATCTGTTTATGCGGCGTGCGGTAAAAAAGTTTGGGTTATTAATGCCCTAACTGGTGAATTGGGTAAAAATTTTTCTGTTCAACATGAACATGTTGGTAGTGTTAAATTAATGGCACATTCAGGCGTTGGTTTATGGTTGGCATTACGTAATTCAAGTACAGTTTGTTTATATCATACTGAGACATTTAAACATTTACAGGATATTAATATTGCCTCAAATGTTATGCGTGTTATTAAATTGCCAGAGAATCAAAATCAACAATATAAAAATTATCAAAATCATCAAAATCATATTGTCACAGTAACGGCATTAATGGCATGTAAAGGTCTTTTATGGGTTGGTACAAATTGTGGTATTAGTCTTACAATTCCATTGCCACGCCTCGAGGGCGTGCCAATAATTTCAGGGCGTGTTAATATTTCTTATCATGCACATTTTGGACCAATCACATTTTTACTTGCGATACCACAAATTCGTAATAATTGGACAAACGATGAGAATGAACAAAATTATCAATTAGAACAATTAGAACAAGAAGACATCGACGACGACGACGACGACGACGAAGAAGAAGAAGAAGAAATTGAAACAAATCAACAGAAAAAAAATAATTCTATAGTAAAATTACGTCATCAATTAGCTGAAAGTCCAGTAATGTTAAGACGTAAACGTGGTAAATTTAATGAATTTCGTGGTTCAAAAACATTACCACGTGGTTTAGGTAGTAGCGGTGGGAATTTTCTCTCTAATTCAACATCAAGTTCACAAAGTTCTGGTGAAAATTGTGATGTCTATGGTTTATATGGTGATTTAATGAATATTAAAGATTATGATACAGAAAATAATGGTGGTATTGATCCAATTTATGAAACATTAAGACGTAGTGATCCTGAATTGGCGGCAATACCAAATAAAGTAAGTACATTGGATCGTCGATTACAAATGAAAATAACACGTCCACGTTCATTGGATTTGTCAAATTGGTCAGTTGATTCACATGCAAGTTCATTGTATACAAGTTCAGGATCAGAGGAGAATTTAAGTTTAAAAACTGGTAAATTATCACGCAATAGCAGTACGGCGAGTCGTAATGGTCCCTATGATGGTAATAGAGAGTGGAAAAGAAGTGGAACCACGCCCAAGGAGGAGAAAACCACGCCTAGAAGTGAAGGCCACGCCCAAAGGGAGGAGAAAGCCACGCCTGCTTTGGATAAAACCACGCCTAGAAACGAAGGTCACGCCCCAAGGGAGGAGAAAGTAACGCCCAGAATTGAAGGCCACGCCCCAAGGGAGGAGAAAGTAACGCCCATTTTTGAAAAAACCACACCCCGAATTGAAGGTCACGCCCATAGGGAGGAGAAAACCACGCCTACTTTCGATAAAGTCACACCTAGAATCGAAGGCCACGCCCCAAGGGAGGAGAAAGTAACGCCCACTTTTGACAAGACCACGCCCAGTAGAAATGAAAAATCAATTACGAGAGTAGGAGGAGGAAAGGATCGTTTAAAGGAGGGAATGAGAGAAGGAGGCAGAGCAAGGGGAGGAGCGGAGGGTGGTGTGCCTACGGCAAAAAAAGTGGGTAATGAAAAGAAAAGTGGTAATAAAAAAATGCAAAAAACGCCAATTCAAGAACAACCAAAACGCACAGTGCTTACATTAATGGGTGGTCGTGGTTATGTTAATTGGCGGCAATTAAATACACAGACTGAAAAAAATCATAAACAAATGATTAATAATTATTCCAAGGATCCAAATAGTAATGACGCGCACATTGTACTATGGGAAATGAAATTGTGATTATGACTTTTTCTTTAATGAAAGGAAAAAAAAAATGAAAATAAATCCCTCCTCTCCATTATTTTTTTCTTTTTTTTTTTGGTAAATCGAAAATATACATGAAATTTTGAAAAAAAAATAAAATTTAAAATTACATTTGTCGAAAAAAAAAATTGCACTTTTGAAAATATTTTGACAAAAAAATCTAAAAAAAAATTCAAACTTCACACGAAAAAAACACACACAACAGAGAATTAAATTTCAGTCAAACCGGAAATAAAAAAAATTAAAAAATTTCAATTCGACAAAAAATTGAAAATTATCTTTTTTTTGGAAAATTTTCAATTTTTTTTCTATTTTATTTTATTTTATTTTTTTTTTTTTTTGAAAAAAATACAAATTGACAAATTTCTAAAAATTTTTGGAATTTCTTTAATTTTTTTTTTTTTTTTGTTATTCCTATAAATTTTAAAATAATAAACATTTTTTTACGGATAATACAAATTTAATTGCAGAGAATAATGAAAAATAAATTCAAAAATTTTTGTAAGTAGAAAAAATTTTTTTTCTTATATTTTACTTTTTTGGCATAAAATAAATAATTATTAGAAATAAAATAATAAAAATTTGATTTTTTTTGCCTTTGAAAAATTATCGACTAAAATAAAGAAAAATAGGAAATATTCTTGTTTTTTTTTTTTTTTTTTTTTGGTGAAAAATGTTTTTTTTTCTTAATTTTTAAATTTATTTTCTCTGAATAATAATAATAAAAAAAAATACCGACGAAATTTCCGCGAAAGACTGAATTTCTTTTTTTTTGTGGAGTGGAGAATTAAAAAAATTTTTAATATTAAATTTTTGGTATTTTTGACAATAAATGAAAATAATAAATTAATTCAAAATAATGGATTAATGAAAAAAAAAAATAAATTTATTAATTAATTTTTGCAAATAATTATAATACAAAAAACAATTTTAATTATAATTAATTAATTTATGAATAAAATTGTAATTAAAATTTTTTTTTTAAATTATAAATTATATTTTTCTTTCCCAAGTGACCTTAATAAAAAAAATAAATAAATAAAAAGACAAGTATTTTTTTCTTAACGGAGAGAAAGAAAAAATAACAATAAGAAAAAGCCGAGTAACGTTTGTGCCTTAATTTTTTTTTTTTTTTTTTTAGTGCATTTTTCCGCTTCTTTTTTTCTATGAAATCGATTCGCAATATTTATTCCAATTTTTTTTGTCAAAAATTATAATTAAAAAATGTTTACAAATACTTTTAAGTTATAAAGAAATTAGCGTTTTCTCTAAAGAAAATTAAATATTAAAAAAATTATAATTGAAAAAAAAATTAGGATAAATAAAATTGCGAATTTGATTTTTTTCTAAATTAGAAAAAAAATTTTTAAAAAGAAGAAAAAATAATTTCTACTGAGAAAAAAAAGAAGGGTGCGAAAAAAAACAAAAATGCGAGGGAAAAAAAATTTATATATTCACATACACACAATTTATAGACAATTTTACTGTTTATATAGAAATTGTTATAAAAAAAAATTAAGGAAAAAAAAATATACATATATATATATATATATATAAATATATATTAAAGTAGCGAAATAAATATTTTTTAATAACAAAAAAAAATATTTAAATAGTAAAAAAAAAACAAATGTTTAATTACAGAAGAAAAAAAAGAAATTTAAATACTGAGAAAATATTTAAATATTGAAAAAATATTTAAAAAATAATGAAAAAAAAATTTTAATATTTGAAAAAATATTTAAATAAATGAAAAGAAAATTTAAATATATAGGAAAAAAAAATATATTTAAATAACGAGAAAAATTAAAAATATGAAAAAAAAAATAGTGACAAAAATTTGTATTAAAAAATAAAAATATTCGAATAAATGAATATTAAATATAAATTTTTTTAGACTAAAAAAAAAAGAAATTTAACTTTCGAAATTATTTTTTCAAGAAAAAAAAATGTTGAATTTCAACAAAAATGGATAATTTTAATTTGGCCAAAGAATTTTGTTTTTTTTTCTCTGATTAAGAAAAACATGAAATTTTCCATTCGTCCGATTGTAAAAAGTGCCTTAATCTTAAGGAAATATTATTATTATTGTAAAAATGACTTCGTTACGATATTTTTTTTTTGTTTTGTAGTTGTAATTTTTTTGCAATTATTTTTTTTCCACTTTACACGTCAGCAAACAAAAAAAAAAAAAAAAAAAAAAAAAGAAAAAGAAAAAAAAATGTTTTTCGAAATTTTCGAATACTTCCTGATCAAATTTGAAAAATTTATTTATAAATTAATTTATAAATTTAAAAATTTCTTTTTATATATTAATTTATAAATTTATAAATTTATTTTCATAAATAAATATAAATAAATATATATATATATATATATATATATATATATATATATATATATATTATTCTATATTTAAAAAAAAACGTTTTTTAATTATAAAAATTTAAAAATAATTAAAATTAAACGTTTTTTGATATCAAGAAATATTAAAAAGAAATTCTAAATTAAGAACAAAATAATTTTTTGTTTGTTTTTTTTTTTAATTAAAACTTTTGTTATATTCTAGAATTTTTTCAAAAATTTGTAAATTTATTTTGAATTTTTCGCAAAAACATAAATAATCTAAAAATTCTCGTTTTGCAAAAAAAAAGGAAAAAAAAATTACCAAAAAAAATTGAAAAAATAGAAAGAAATTTTTGAAAAAAAAAATTCATTTTTTACCTATTGAGATTGTAGCAAAAAAAAAAAAAAAGTTTTTTTAAGCCTCAAAAAAAAAAAGGAAAAAAAAATCTTTTCCAATATAAATAAAAAAAAATATAAAATAAATGGCAGTATTGAACAAAATAAATAAAAATAAAAATTTCTTTATGAATGAAAGTGTTTTTATTTTTTATTTTTTATACAAAAAAAATTTTTTTTTTTGCCTTGATCAGAAAGTTGAGATAAATTTTGTTGTTATTAATAATTGCGGGTGATATAGAAGAATGTTTTTTCTCTTCCAAACAAAAAAAAAAAGAGGGGGAAAAAAATTTGTTTTTTCTTCAAAAACGAAAAAAGGGGGAAAAAATTGTTTTTTTTTCCCCCTTTTAAATAAATTTTGTTAATAAATATTGCGACGAGTATAGAAAGAAAAAAAGAAGAAAAAAAAAAATTTAGAAAAGTATGCAAGATTTGTATGAAAGAAAACAAAAAAAAAAAAAAAAAATGATTACTGTTATATAATAATAATAATTATTGTTATTATGATTATTATTAATATTTTTTTTATAATTATTATAATAAATATAATAATAATATTAATAATTATTTTATAATTATTAATTACAATTAAAAATATTATTTAAATAATTTTTATTAATATTTTAATTATTCTTATAATTATTATAATAATTATAATTATTATTATTATTATCATTATTATTATTATTATAATTATTGTAATTATTATTTTTCTATTATTAAATATTATTATTATTATTACGATTATAATAATTATTATAATTATTAATTATTAATATTATTATTTTTATTATAATTATTATTATTATTATTATTATTATTATTATTATTATTAATATTTTATTAGATATTTTTCTTGAATATTTAGAATTCTTTAAATTGTTTATATATATACTTATTTTGTAACAACAATATTCGAGAAAAATGAAAAAAGGTGTTTTTTTTTCTTTGTATTTATATAGACGATTCTACACAAATGAGAAAAAAAAATTGCATTCGACTCAGAAATGATTATAAAAAAGAAAAACACGTCGATACTTAGTTTATGTATATGTATTTATTATATATTAATCATTTTCAAAGTAAATTCAGTGCCACTTAATCGTTCGAAAAAATTGCAATAAATTTTTTATTTAATTTTCCCATTTAACCTTACAAAAAAAAAAAAAAAATTCCAATTTTCCCGCTCTTTTTTCCCTTAAATCTCTTTATTAACAGCGTAAAATTTGAATAATTATTTATTAATATTAATTATTATTTTATTTATTATAAATTATTTTTATTTTTTATTTATTTATTATTATTATTTATGTATTATTACTTAGCTTGAAAAAGTATTTTTTTTACTTTAATATTTATTATATTATTTTTATATTATTATATATATATAATTATAATATTTAAAAAAAAATTGAAATGAATTCATTTTGTTTTTAAAAATACTGTTGGTAATACTATTTTTTTCATTAATATTATCGGTATTACCATCTGATGGTATGTTACCATCGGTCGGTATATTACCATTGGTCGGTAACTTATTAACAGTCGGTACAATACCATCAGTCGATAATTAATTAGAAATTGATACCTATTTTCGAAAATAAAAATTCTATTGTCCTGCCATCTATAATCTAATGTCGATAATGTAGAAATTGCAAGTTACCATTATTTTTTATTGCTTTTTTTTCACTAATAATTTATTTTTCCCTATCGTGTAAAGGTTTTTTTTTCGGAAAAAAAAGAAAACATTTTTTTTTTTTTTTTTTTAGTAAGACATAAGTTTAATATTTGTTAAAAAGGACGAACAGTTAATGTCGATGATTGGGGTGTCTTGTACAGGGCGCTTGGGGAACGAATAGAGTTGAGAAAATTTGTAAAAATTCAAAGAGTTTCTTAAAACTCGACAATAAAATTAAAAAATAAAAAAAAAACAACAATAATGTTGTGATACACATACATATATAATTTTTCAAAAATGATAATATTTTTGAAAAAAAAAAAGAAAAAAAAAATTCTACAGGAAGCTGATTAAGATTCACATCGCATCGAATTCAAGTTTTTATTTTTTATTTTATTAGTATTTTCAATTGAAATGAAAAATAATTTTTTTAAAAAAAATGAAAAATTTTCTCATTTATTATCAACTTCCTGTGTGCTTTTTTTTTTCTTTAACAAATTTTATTTTAAAAAATAAACAATTGAAATTTGTGTCATGAGTTTGGAAATTCAAATAAAAAAAAAAATTATTCTATCATTTTTTTGTAATTATAAAAATTAATGTAACATTTTTTTAGTAACTTACAAAAATTTGTTATGTAACAAAAAAAAAAATTGTAATTTTTTATTTTGTAAAATTGTTATATTTAAAAAAAATTTTTTTATACGTTAAATTTAACAAATTTTGTTACAAAAAAAAATTTGTTATGTAACAAAAAAAAAATTCTAACTATTATTTTTTCCTTATTCTGCAAAACTGTTACATTGAAAAATTGTTTTTTTTATACGTTAAATGTAACAATTTTTTTTTGTTACAAATTTTTGTAACATTTACATAAATTTTGTTATGTAACAATAAAAAAAATTGTAACTGTTTTTT